CAAGATATCAGTGTATGTTGCTGGTCATTAAATGAGCAAATAAGTTTTACAGAAATGTTATCCCCATTGCGACAGTTGTTAATTTTTTCTTTTTTATACACTACTAAATGCAAGTATTAGTAGTAATTGTTGAGGCGCAATGCTGCGTAGGTGGAGTTGTAAGGTATAAATCGAAATTCTTCATGCTCCGCTCTAGAGTGGAAGTCATTTCATGACTTCGGCTTTTGATTTTCAGCATTCGCCTCAAAAATTTTCAGGTGATGTTTTTACGTATAGCTTTGTTTCAGTTCAATCACAGTCAATTCACTGTCTGCTCTGCCACTTATCAATCATACGCTTTTATGCGTTTTTGCCTATATTCAAATTGCAAAAACGCGTATTGGGACGACCCTGTCTGTGTATATATGTGTGTATATGTTTGTGGGTGTGTGTTCGTCTGCCCTGGTATTTCAACTCGGCAACCAACCAAGTTTCAGCGCCGAGATTTTGCTGATGGGTACCCCGGCCAAGTACCACCCCAGAATCGCGGTACCATCCCTCACGCACGTCTGGGCACCGCGTACGAGAGGGGGAAAGTTTTGGCGGGAAAATTCATAACTCGAGAACGGGAAAAGGTAGAAGGCTGAAAATTTGGGAATATGTGCCCATACCATGCGCGACCCTCCCATTTTAATATTATCCCCTGCGGACGCCTGGGCGCCGGGTACGGGCCCCTTAAAAAAATATGCAAATTTTTTGGAGGGAATGCGATCTCGGGAACCATACGAGCTAAGGAGCTGGAACTTTGTAGAGACATTCCCTGTGCATGTACTGGCCAGAGATTTCAAATTCAGCCGCCAGGTATGCTTGGTACCCACATTAGAGCGTATGAAAATTTTATGAGGAAAATTGCTAACTCGACAACTAGGAAGGCTGAAAGGCTGAAATTTTACAGGAATACTTCCTGTCCAAGTGCAGCTTAAATATTTCAGATCCAGCCCTCAAGTGTGCATGGTGCTCACGTAAGGGTGTATGAAAGTTTTAGGGAGAAAATTACTAATTCGGATGCCAAAAAAGCTGGAAGGCTGAAATTTTCAGAGAACGTCCCCAGCCCATATACGACTTAAATTTATCAAATTCAGCCCCCAGTCATT